GATATTTTTGTAGCACTTTGTGACAAGCATAAAAATTCACGTACAGACTGTTTCCTTCTTAAAGTCATACTGTAATACTTATAATACTCACCATTTCTCATATAAGAACTTGGAAAATAAATGTTTCCTAGAATTTATCAAAGAAAAAATATTTCTCTCATTAAGTGATTTACTTTTTGCCTTTAATGAATTTCCAAAAAACTTGGAGCTAAATGCATTACTTCACAGCAGATATGAATTCAATTTATCTACATTCTTTATATCTCTTCTTTGCTAGGATCTGTTGATGATGGAACAAGTGAAAGACTTTGCTGCCAATGTGTACGAAGCCTTTAGTACCCCTCAACAACTGGAGAAATAAGTTTTCCATTAAGACAAAGTATGGTGGCTTTTATTTGCCTTTTAAAAAAATACACTGAATAAATCAGCCACAGAGAAACACTTTACCATCAAAATGCCTAATAAAAATATATTCTTTACCAGTCTTCATTTCATAATGAAATAGATTTATTTGGCATCTTAATATATTTTTTGGAAGCCCTCAACATACCAGTTTCTGTGGGCATATTAGAGTGACAAAACAATGCAAAAACCAGATTGGTTATCACTGGTTCCACCATGGATAGTACTTCCAAACTGACTGAAAGCAAATGCATATACTTTTTTTATAATAGACAAGGCCATATACCTTGACATTAATACTGAAGGAAAAAAAATGTGTCTGGAAAATGGGCCTGAGATGGATGAAGTTTCAGAAATGTACTCCTTAATGAATCGTAAAGTGTGCTTGACTGCGGTAGGCAGGAGGGAGCCAGAACCTTCTCCATTCACCTTCAAGGGGAGAAATGGCTTGTCTCAGTTACATCTGATGGAGAGGACTTGCCTTTTTATAGCAATCAGTGAAACTGAACAATCATGATCTATTGGGTGTTTTTTTTCCTTGCTATTGTTAACAATCCTTAGAAATTCTATACTGAATTAGAGGCTGAAATTGTGTTGATGCTATTTCCTCACAGCTATTAATAGCTCAATAGCTTTATTCATTTGTATGTAAATAACTTTAGTTAATTTTGAGCACAGTGAATATCTTATTGCAATAAAATATTTTAGTAAAATATGATTTGTTTCATTAATACTTTTCAATCATTACTTTGTAAGTTCCATAGAATTTTTGCTGCTATTTTGGAAGAGAGGATTCTACAGTTTTCAATTTTGGTTTTTAACTGGCAGTATAAATGTTTCTTTCCATTAACTTATTCACACACACACACACACACAAATAGCATTATCTTCTGAAATAAAAAGAATCCCATTTTCTCTAAAAAATCTGTAGCTCTGCTGTTTATAATGATAATTATAATTAAATGACTCATCATGTAACATCAGATTATTAGATATGTTTTCTGTAGTACCAGCCACCTTGACATACAGCTAAATAGGAGAAGGTGGGAAACAAAGTGTGACATCTCCTCAAAGGCCAAGTTAGGCCCACAGCGGACTGCTGGGGAGGCTGCATCTAAAATGTTAAAACTAGGTGTGTATAAAGTGCAGAGAAGGGCAGATGCAGATGCTGATGTGAATTCTAATAGAGTAAATGAAAACTGTATTTTGGAAAATTAGTGCACACATGTATATTAGGATGTACACTTCTTCTAGCAGCAGGAGCCCAGAATTTAATTCAGGGAAAATGTGATTTGAGACTGAACAGAAGGAACTGGAAGGATAGGAAGGTGGTCAGGTGAGAGTCATCACCTAGTCATCTGCATCTGGAGCCCTGTTGCCGTTGAAGCATCTGGAGCCCTGTGGCCGTTGAAAGGATGGCAGGACTAAGGACTCACGTGTTAAATGCCGTTGAGTCAGTTCTGATTCAGTGACCCTGTGTAGGGTTTCCGACGAGCCACTGGTGAGTTTGAACCACTGACCTTGCATTTTCCCAAAGCACGACACCAGGACTCATGTATTAGTAGTTAATTGGCCTTAGACATTACAGATTTGCATTCTAATAGTGCCGTCTTGTGTGTGAACCTTAAGTTTTTGGTTAACCCAAAAAGTTAGATAGAGCATATCATCATAAAAATACAATACATATGTTGCTGTTTTTAAGTGCTGTCAATTCACTTCCAACTCATAGCAACCCTTTATAGGGTTTCCAAGGAGCTGCTTGCTGGTGGGTTTAAACTCCCAGCCTTGAGTTTAAACTAACTGCAGTTAGCAGTTTAACTAACTGCAGTTAGCAGTCCAGTGCTTATCCTACAGCATCACACCAGGACATGCATCCATAGACATGTTAACTTCAAATAAGAATAATGATTTATCTGTCTGTTACTTAACCTTTCCTGCCTGTTGAATATGGATCACATGTTAAGGAGTTTCTCATTGTCTTACAGCCATTATACAGTTGTGAACCAGGACATGAAATTCTTCTGTAAGTTTTACTGTATTTCCCGCCAGTCTGTTAGAACTGTTGTGCCCACATTGAAGTAATCCATAGGTGTTTTAAAAGAGACAGTACACTTTTACCTAGTTTCTCCAATGCATTTAACTCGGCTTTCAGAGAAACTCGCCATCAGCTTAAACAATCATAAGACATTCAACTGACATCATTGGTTTTGTGACAAATTCAATTAACTCTATGGAATGGGCAGTGTAGAGACCGGGATCCAATTGCAGGGTGGACTGGTCTAACTGAAAGCCCTCACCCATCCATCTGTAAGCTTTTTCAGAGGAATGGAGACCACCAAAAACCTACTGCCTTCAAGTCAAGTGCTTTAAGCAATGAGCCACCAGGGATCCTTTAGTAAATTGGTTAAATGGAGATTAGTTAAAACAGCTTCCGGTTTTTTTTTTTCTTTCATACTTGTCTGTTTATTATTGCATGTATATAAAAAGCATGCATTTAAATTTGGTATGAAATTTGTTTGGAAGTTAGGTGGAAGATTTGACCTAGCCAGATCTCTGGTCCTGGTATGGCACTGCAGGATAATGGACTGGACAAGGTTGAGTTGAACTGCAAGGTCAGCGGTTCAGACTCACCAGCCAATCCTCAGAAACCCTATATACTGTTGCTGTGTGTTGGAACCGACTCTACAGCACTTAACAAGATCTGTTACTTACAAAAACAAAATGAACAGAAGACAAAACATGTCATGTTTTTGTTGTCTTATTTCATATTTATTGGAATAGCCTGACCTTAAAGAGCAATTAGAGTGCTGCTTCAACATGCTCTCCTAAGAAAATGAGATAAAATCTTATTAAAATGATGTCCTTGTTTTAAACTGTAAAATCTTATCCAGATTATTCAGTCTCACAAACTGGTTTGGCTTGTTTTGAATAGTTCACTAATTAAGTGCAAATCAAATGATCAAAATTCAAACATGACAATTTTATACCTATTATTGCAGGCATCCTGGTATGGCCCTGTGGGTTAATGCACTGAACTGCAAAGTTGGTTTGAACCACAAGGTTGGCGGTTCAAGCTAACTAGTTGATCCTCAGGAACCCTATACAGGGTTGCTATGGGTTGGAATCAACTCAATGGCACTTCACAACAACAACTAAATTAACTCTTGTAGAAGGATTAATTGGCTGGAGAGATAAAAACTATTGGTTTACAGTAAGGAATGAGATGTCTGGTTTTTAATAACCCTCTTGTGATGCTGTAGGATCAACACTGGACTGCTAACCACAAGGTTGGAAGTTCAAACCCACCAGCTGCTTCTTGGAAACCCTATACAGGGTCAATAAGAGTCGGAACCCACTTGACAGCAATAACAACATCTAATTTTCTTAAATATTTCCATTTTGTCCTGTTATTCTAAATTTGAATAGGTAAAGATAAGGTAGAAATGTAGGCAGTGGACAGATTTTAGCCTAGAAAATACTTTCTTCAAATAGAAAGATGATTCTATTTTTATATTGAGACTTCTATAACACTAGTTTTCCTTTTTTTGTTTTCATCTGGTGTTTGGGATCATGTAAATCATGCACATAGGAACTCTAATAAAATGTTAATTGGGATTTAGAACTATTAAAGTAGCCACATAAATCCTTGGACATGGTTTAAAAAAATTGACATATGTAAGAAGTTCAAGAATGAGTAGGGTTTTAGTTTTGTTTTAATTTGATAAACATTAGCATGATTTTAGGATATAAATATAATAAACTTTTATTTTACTCTATTTGAAGCATTTGGAGGAACATATTTTTGTCTGCATTGGATTAATGTAACCAGTGGAACCTATAGACCTTCAAATAATGATAAAGCCAGATTGACCACCTTTTGCTGCAGGGAGTAAATGCTTTCATCAAGTTTCTTTAAATTTATGTCAAAATTAGTATCACTTTTGCTGAAGAGACTTCCTAATTTCCAGCTAGGTTTTCAGCTTCAATTGATGGAAAGCAAATACCATAAACAAATTTATAAATTTCAGTTGAACTACAAAAAAATAGACCCATACTTTCAACTCCCCCCTCAACAATATATACTAAAATATTAATAATTATCTGAGTGATGAGTTTACCAGAAATTTGTTTTCTTGAGTATTCTGTATGTTTCAAAATGTTTACTGTGAACATAAGTTTTATAATAAGAAGGGGGAAAAATAACTATACAAAAAAACAATTATCTGAACCATTAAAAATACATATTAAATATAAACGTATGTGTGGCAATGAAGGTGAGGTTGGTTTATGACTTGGCAGTGTTTTGTTCTGTTGTACATAGGGTCGCTGAGTTGGTACCGACTCAAAAGCACCAACAACAATAAATATATACATTTATTATATACCACCAATTCTTAGCTACTCTAAAAACATTTCCACCTCCTAATCACACACAGAAACAAATTTATCGTGAAAAGATTTTAATGGTAAAGTACAAGTACACTGGAATGTTCAGTTACATGAGGCATTTAAAAAACAATTTAGGGAAAAAAGAATTGAATTGCCCAAATAATTACTTAAATGTTCTTGGCTAATTATCTTCTCCATGTGCTTCAATTCTAGAGCACACTGGTCAGTTCCAGAGCCCAGCCCCATTTACAGGGAAACTGATTGATAGTGAGATGGGGCAGATTTACCATAATACCAGTTTGTTCTGAAGAAGTCCACTTAAGTGACTGTCCATGTCCCAGGAGTTTTACCTACAATTAAGCACACACACACACATGCCACCAAATGCATCAGTTTGATTGATCTACTTTTTACAAGGAAGAAATGGATGACATTTTTTAAAAGCATAAAAGACAGGAAATTCACTTTTTACCTTTTTCCCATTTTATATTTTTAACCCTTGATTCAACTGGGTGCATATATCTCTCTTGCTCTTTCATTGCTCTCAAGAGGAAATAAAGTGCACGGTAGTTGGGGAAGAATTCTAGAGTCTGAATGGAGGGTCAGAGAGGTAAGGGTACTGAAGAGAAGATAGGGATAGAAAACCCATCTGCCCAACTCTGACCTGCCCACTTCTTACACAGGATGTTTGGAGAAAGGCTGCCCTCCCTTGTCCTGTACTCTCTAACCACCCTCAGACTCCTCAGTCATGTCCATGAGTCAATAAGGCATCAAGTTTATCTGTTATCCAAAGGAGCTTCAAAAATTTTATGGGAAAGTAGAATTAAAAGCTAATGGATTTTTTCCACGAACGTTTTGAAGCCCTCTTGTATATCCTTAGTCTTAATTTATACTCAGTGAATTCAAATATGTAGTTCTTTTAAACTAGAAAATTCTGCTCATTGGATGGAGCAATATAAAAACCACGAACTTTGAAGTAACATATTTAATTGGTGTCAGAAAGAACACAGATAAACATAATCAGTACCCTAACCAGACTACTGAGCTATAAGTGAACACTAGATCTGAACTCCATCTCTTGGCCAGATAACCACATGGCTTAGGCATAAACACAGACAGGCGTTGCACACAGATAATTCACCTCCAGTGGGATCGTGAATGACTTAGTAAGGTGTTTTTAAATGATCCCAGTGTCAGGCCAGGTGATTATTACTGTTAGATTCATCTTAAACTTTCTCCAAAGGTTTTTGTAAATTTTAAAAGAAGGGCCTGATATCTTTGATTCAGAAGTGTCCTGGGTGGGGTCTCAGGGAAGCATCTGAATTCCAGTTTTATGAATAGAACAATTTTGGATGCATGCAGTTCAACTAGAACAACATAGAATTACTGCAAAGAATGACATCTACTTTGCATTGACATGCAGGGTGCTATAAGTTTTGGTTTTCTGAGAAATGAATAAAAATATCAAAGGTTTTGCCCAAATATTGCCATCAATGAAGTTACTCTTACATGGTAGAAAAAAAATGTGCATAAAAGCTATTCTTATAGTTAAAAAAAACTTATATTTTCATAGGTAATCCTAAGCAGCAATTTAAAGGAACAACAAAGATAACAAAAGTCCACCTTACCGTTGTTGAACCGAAAGTAGCTTTGGGTTGGCCAAGAAACAGCTGTCCTGATGTGGGCCATTTAAGAAAAAGGGCATACACCAAATCTTCTTTTGGTTTGGATGTGTACCTAGTTAAACAACACAGGATGGCAGTAACCAAGACACACCCCATGCTGCTGTTTATTCATGGGTAAGTCTGTAGTTGTTTGACAGGGCACATAATTTACCAATGGCTTCATTACAGGAAGGAAGGACAAAGAGCCGTGGGAAGCCTAAAAAGCATCTCCCTTCCCCAACTCCCCAATAATCAAGGATGTTCTTAGAAAATAGGTTCTTATCAAACTATTTTTTCAAGAGCTGGAAAATGAAGTGATGGGGGGTTTGAACCAAAAATTAGGGGGCAAGAGTTAAAAAGTCTTTCCACCTACTGACGGAAATCTATTTAGTCATTAATTCAATAAACATATTTTGGCACTATGCTACATCCTGTACTCAGTGCGACGGATATGATAGGAAAAAGGGGGAGAAAACGCACAGAATTCTTGCTCTCCTGGAAACATTAAGTAACCACAGGTGAGTCTCCATAGGACCTGGATGTTTCTCTGAGCCTCAAAGACAGGAGGGATCTGAGCATGGGAGCAGTACAGTCTGACTCATTTAAAAGAGGATGCTGGCTGCTCTGAAGAAGAAGACGACAGGTAAGAATAGAAACAATCCAGGACAAATGAATAAGGACTGACAATAAGAAGTTACAGGAGAAGGTCAGTGTCTACAAAGTTCAACATATGAGTCTGGAAATATACATCAGTATTTAAAGCCAGGAAAGTGTATGACACCACATGGAAAAAACAGAAAAGTAAAAGTCCAAAGACTAAGGATTTAGAGGTTACGTATAGGAGGTGGAACTGGCAAAGGGACACTAAGAAAGAGCAGTCAAGGAGTCTACTACAAACCAGCAGAGACTAATCACCTGAGACAAATGCTGCTGATAGCGATCAGAAAGTTAAAACTGAAAACTGACCATGGACTTGTTGTTACGTGCTGTTGAGTCGGTTCCGACTCATAGCGACCCTGTATAGGGTTTCCAAGGAACGACTGGTGGGTTTGAAGTACCAACCTTGCAGCTCAAACTGACTAGCAATCCAGTGTATTATCCTGCAGCACAACACCAGGACTCTGACCATGAACATGTTAAGTGCCATAGAGTCAGTTCTGACCCATAGCAACCCTGTATAGGATTTCCGAGCAGCTGGTGAGCTTGAACCACCGACCATGCAATTCAAACAGTTTTCCAGTCTGGCGCATTAACCCACAGCACCACACCAGGATTCCAACCATGAACTTGCTGTTGTTGTTAGGTGCCATGGAGTTGGTATGGGCTCATAACAACTTTATACACAGCAGAACGAAACACTGCCTGATCCTGGGCCAACCTCACTACTGTTGCCGCACTTGAGTCCATGGATGCTGCCACTTTGCCAATCCATCTCTTTGAGGGGGTCTTCTTTTTCTCTGACACTCCACCTTACCAAACATGGTATCCTTCTCCAGAGAATGGTCCCTCCTGACAATATGTCCAAAGTATCAGAGACAAAGTTTGGCCATCTTAGCTTCCAAGGAGCATTCTGGCTGCACTTCTTCCAAAACAGATCTATTGGTTCTTTTGGCAGCCCATGGCACTTTCAATATTCTCCTCCAACACCATAACTCAAAAGCATCA